AGCAGCAGGAGGTGGTGACTCCATAGCTGACAATTGTCAGCAGGACATGAGAAAAAAAGGTCCCCTTGGCACCTTGCAGGCATTGCTGGTGACAGTAGAGGGGTCACGTTTGTATTTTGTGCTGAGCTTCCCTCCACACCAGGCAGCATCAGGACTCATCTGCTGGTTGTCCGAAACGTGCACAACACCATAATGACAATCATGCGCAAGCACACAAGCGCCGAAATTATGTGCATCCTTCAGCCAATCAGTCAATGCAATTTTTTGTAGTGCAATCTGTGTACGTGCTTTTATTTAGTCCAAACCCTGTGTTTCCAGCCATATTGCGGACTTGAAGTCCTCTTGCACCAGCGGTGTGCTGCTTTGAAGGAGCTTAATCACCAAACATACTTCAGAGTGTTGTTACAATGCTTGAACTCTTCCAGGAGGCAGGTGTCATGAGCACCCGGGCTTGCTTGTTTGCTAGGATGCCCCAGGTGTGTTGGAGATGTCAATAGAAGGCCTCCAGCTATGGCAATTGAACTGTAACCAAATGGTCTGAGATATCCGAGTGGCAGTGCACAATGTACTGCACTCTATGATGCACCCGTTTGAACTGTCCAAGATTGGTGTGTTGGAGATGCGAATCGACACACGCTGGTGCTAGCCAAGTGCTTCAGGTCCCAAGAGCTCTTTGACGTCCTTGTTGTTGTGTGTGATGCACAGTTCGGGAAAACAGCGCTCTTTCAGGCATCGTACAATGGGCACACGAGCACCGTGGCGCTGTTGCTGGAAAAGGGCGCATCAGTGGACCAAGCCAACCAGGTGAGAAGGCATTGCCTGGCTTCTTCCTCAGCAGGGCCCGCATCTGTGCACGTGCTTGTGATTGTTGCAGAACACGAACATGTAGTGCCTTGGCCTGCTCGGGACTCGCGTATGACTGCTTCTGTCCTGTTGCTTAGTGAAGGCTGTGCCGGTCACAGATTCTGCATTCACCATCCCTCATTCTTGTGTGCATCCCTCAACCGCACTGTGTATGGATGCCCTGCGGATGTCAGTGTTTCCTGCAGCAGTTTGGGGCTACAAGTCCCGGTGGACACCATGAAGTGGCCAAAGATCTGTGTGTTGACCTGGTCAAGTTCTGCAACCTGTGTGCCACTGCACAAGGCATTGAAGCTGATGGTGGAACAATCGTGTTGGATATTTGTAGATGCCGTCTTGTAATGAAATGTAACCAAGATGCCAGCCATATGCACGTCAAGGCTTTGCGGCTGTGCTTGCCGGATCTCAGCTGCGGAATATGTGTGCAGAAAAATGTAGAATTTGCCCAGAGGCTCTGTACTTAAGTGCCATCAACAACATTGTCACAGTCACGTGTAGGAAGGAGAAACTCCTTTCAAGAGAGCTTGTTTTGCCCACACTCTATGCCTCATCCATGCATTTGCAGCAGCAGGAGGTGGTGATTCCATAGCTGACAATTGTCAGCAGGACATGAGGAAAAGGGTCTCCTTGGCAGCTTGCAGGCATTGATGGTGACAGTGGAGGGGTCGTGTTTGTATTTTGTGCTGCGCTTCCATCCACAGCAGGTGGCATCAGGACTCATCTGCTGGTTGTTCGAAACGTGCACAACACCATAACCACAATCATGCGCAAGCACACAAGCACTGAAAATGTGTGCATCCTTCAGCCAATCAGTCAATGCAATTTTGCTGTAGTGTAATCTGTGCACGTGCTTTTATTTAGTCCAAACCCTGTGTTTTCAGCCACGTTGCTGACTTGAAGTCCTCTTGCACCAATGGTGTGCTGCTTTGAAGGAGCTTAATCACCAAACATACTTCAGAGTGTTGTTACAATGCTTGAACTCTTCCAGCAGGCAGGTGTCATGTGCACCCGGGCTTGCTTATTCGCTAGGGTGCCGCAGGTGTGTTGGAGATGTCAATAGAGGGCCTCCAGCTATGGCATTTTGAAGTGTGACCAAGTTGCCTGAGATATCCAAGTGGCAGTGCACAATGTACTGCACTCTATGATGCACCCGTTTGAAGTGTCCAAGATTGGTGTGTTGGAGATGCGAATCCACACACGCTGGCGCTAGTCAAGTGCTTCGGGTCCCAAGAGCCCTTTGACGTCCTTGTTATTGTGTGTGATGCACAGTTCGGGAAAACAGCGCTCTTTCAGGCATCGTACAATGGGCACACGAGCACCGTGGCGCTGTTGCTGGAAAAGGGCGCATCAGTGGACCAAGCCAACCAGGTGAGAAGGCATTGCCTGGCTTCTTCCTCAGCAGGGCCCGCATCTGTGCACGTGCTTGTGGTTGTTGCAGAACACGAACATTTAGTGCCTTGGCCTGCTCGGGACTCGCGTATGACTGCTGCTTTCCTGTTGCTTAGTGAGGGCTGTGCCGGTCACAGATTCTGCATTCACCATCCCTCATTCTTGTGTGCATCCCTCAACCGCACTGTGTATGGATGCCCTGCGGATGTCAGTGTTTCCTGCAGCAGTTTGGGGCTAGAAGTCCTGGTGAACACCATGAAGTGGCCACAGATCTGTGTGTTGACCTGGTCAAGTTCTGCAACTTGTGTGTGCCATTGCACAAGGCATTGATGCTGATAGTGGAACAATCGTGTTGGGGAGTTTGTAGATGCCATCTTGCATTGAAATGTAACCAAGATTCCAGCCATATGTCAAGGCTTTGCGGCTGTGCTTGCTGGATCTCAGCGGCTGAATATATGTGCAAAAAAGTAGAATTTGCCTAGTGGCTCTGTATTTAATTGCCATCAACAACACTGTCACAGTCCAGTGCAGGAAGAAGAAACTCCTTTCATGAGAGCTTGTTTTGCCCCCACTCTATGCCTCATCCTTGTATTTGCAGCAACAGGAAGTGGTGATCCATAGCTGACAATTGTGAGCAGGACATGAGAAAAAAAGGTCCCCTTGGCAGCTTGCAGGCTTTGATGGTGACAGTGGAGGGGTCGTGTTTGTATTTTGTGCTGCGCTTCCCTCCACACCAGGCAGCATCACGACTCATCTGCTGGTTGTCCAAACGTGCACGACACCACAATGACAATCATGCGCAAGCACACAAGCACCGATAATGTGTGCATCCTTTAGCCAATCAGTCAATGCAATTTCTGTATCGTGCAATCGTGCACATGCTTTATTTAGGCCAAACTCTGTGTTTTCAGCCATGTTTTCTGACTTGAAGTCCTCTTGCACCAGTGGTGTGCTGCTTTGAAGCATCTTATTCACCAAACATACTTCAGAGTGTTGTGATAATGCTTTAACTCTTCCAGGAGGCAGGTGTCATGCGCACCTGGGCTTGCTTATTCGCTATGATGGTCCAGGTGTGTTGAAGATGTCAATAAAGGGCCTCCAGCTGTGGCAATTGAACTGTAACCAAATTGCCTGAGATATCCAAGTGGCAGTCCACAATTTACTGGGATCTATGACGCACCCATTTGAACTGTCCAAGATTGGTGTGTTGGAGATGCGAATCGACACACGCTGGTGCTAGTCAAGTGGTTTGGGTCCCAAGAGCCCTTTGACATCCTTGTCGTTGTGTGATATGCACAGAGCGGCTGCACGGCCCTCATTTTTGCAGCAGGCTATGGCCGCACGAGCACCGTGGCGCTGTTGTTGGAAAAGGGCGCATCAGTGGACCAAGCCGACAAGGTGAGAAGGCATTGCCTGACTTCTTCCTCAGCGGGGCCTGCATCTGTGCACATGCTTGTGGTTGTTGGGGAACACGAACATTTAGTGCCTTGGCCTGCTCGGGACTTGCGTCTGACTGCTTCTGTCCTGTTGCTTTGTGAAGGCTGTGTCGGTCACAGATTCTGCATTCACCATCCCTCATTCTTGTGTGCATCCCCCAACCGCACTGTGTATGGATGCCCTGTGGATGTCAGTGTTTTCTGCAGCAGTTTGGGGCTAGAAGACCTGGTGAACACCATGAAGTGGCCACAGATCTGTGTGTTGACCTGGTCAAGCTCTACAACCTGTGTGCCATTGCACAAGGCATTGAAGCGATGGTGGAAACATCGTGTTGGGATGTTTGTAGATGCCGTTTTGCATTGAAATGTAACCGAGATGCCAGCCGTATGCTTGTCAAGGCTCTGCTGCTGTGCTTGCCGTATCTCACAGTCACGTGCAGGAAGAAGAAACTCCTTTCATGAGAGCTTGTTTTGCCCACACACTATGCCTCATCCTTGCATTTGCGGCAGTGGGAGGTGGTGATTCCATAGCTGACAATTATCAGCAGGACATGAGAATAAAAGGTCCCCTTGGCAGCTTGCAGCCATTGATGATCATAGTGGAGGAGTGGTGTCTGTATTTTGTGCTGCGCTTCCTTCCACACCAGGTGGCATCAGGACTCATCTGCTGGTTGTCCGAAACGTGAACAACACCACAATCACAATCATGCGCAAGCACACAAGCACCGAAAATGTGTGCATCCTTCAGCCAATCAATCAATGCAATTTTTGTGTGCTGCGTGCTTTTGTTTACTCCAAACCTTGTGTTTTCAGGCATGTTGCTGACTTGAAGTCCTCTTGCACCAGTGGTGTGCTGCCTTTGAGGAGCTTAATCACCAAACATACTTCAGAGTGTTGTTGTGTTGCTTTAACCCTTCTAGGAGGCACGTGTCATGTGCACCCAGGCTTGCTTATTCGCTAGGATGCCCCAGGTGTGTTGGAGATGCCACTATAGGTTTTGCATCCCATGTTCTGTGGACCTGCGCATGTGTTACTGTGGACAATGGTTGGCCGCACATTGCCAAAGCAGTGAATCATGCACAAGATCGAGAAAGGGAAGTGGGAGGGGGGAAAAGGGACAGCCCAGGTGGAGTACAGGTGACAATCCTCATCGGCAATTTGTCAAGCCAACAAGCATAGTGCGTTAGCAGCACATGTCGCCTTGTGCTCCATTGTTGTACTGCTGGTGCACTTCTGGACATCACAATGGCAGCTGTCAAGTTGTTTGTGTCCCAAGAGCCCTTTGACATCCTTGTCGTTGTGTGTGATGCACAGCACGGCTCAACGGCCCTAACTTTGGCAGCAGAGAAAGGCGACACGAGCACCGTGGCGCTGCTGTTGGAAAAGGGTGCATCAGTGGACCAGGCTACCAAGGTGAGACAGCGTTTCCCATTTTTTTCGTCAGCAGGGCCTGCATCTGTGCAGCCGCACGTGTTTTGTCCAGAATTCAGTACTGCTGCTTGCTTGGAACTCACATCCGGCTGGTAGTATCTGTTAACTGGGTGGTTGGCAACGTGATGGAGGTCTGTGCTGAATGCGTGGAACGGTCCAGAACTGGAGTTTTGGAGATGTGATTGGACAAACACTGGTGCTTTTCAAGTGGTTTGGGTCCCAAGAGCCCTTTGACGTCCTTGTCGTCGTGTGTGATGCACAGGATGGCTGCACAGCCCTCATTTTTGCAGCATACAATGGGCACACGAGCACCGTGGCACTGTTGTTGGAAAAGGGCGCATCAGTGGACCAAGCCGACAAGGTGAGAAGGCATTGCCTGGCTTCTTCCTCAGCAGGGCCTGCATCTGTGCACGTGCTTGTGGTTGCTGCAGAAAACGAACATTTAGTGCCTTGGCCTGCTTGGGACTCGCATCTGACTGCTTCTGTCCTGTTGCTTAGTGAGGGCTGTGCCGGTCACAGATTCTGCACTCACCATCCCTCATTCTTGTGTGCATCCCCCAATCGCACTGTGTGTGGATGTCCTGCGGATGTCAGTGTTTCCTGCAGCAGTTTGGGGCTACAAGTCCTGGTGGACACCATTAAGTGGCCACAGATCTGTGTGTTGACCTGGTCAAGTTCTGCAACCTGTGTGCCATTGCACAAGGCATTGAAGCTGATGGTGGAACAGTCATGTTGGGATGTTGTAGGTGCCATCTTGTATTGAAATGTAACCGATATGCCAGCCATATGCATGTCAAGGTTCTGCGGCTGTGCTCGCCGGATCTCAACTGCTGAATATGTGTGCAGAAAAGTAGAATTTGCCAAGTGGCTCTGTATTTAAGTGCCATCAACAACAGTGTCACAGTCACACACAGGAAAGAGAAACTCCTTTCATGAGAGCTTGTTTTGCCCCCACTCTATGCCTCATCCTTGCATTTGCAGCAGCAGGAGGTGTTGATTCCAGAGCTGACAATTGTCAGCAGGACATGAGAACAAACAGGTCCCCTTGGCAGCTTGCAGGCATTGATGGTCACAGTGGAGGGGTCGTGTTTGTGTTTCGTGCTGCGCTTCTATCCACACCAGGCAGCATCAGGACTCATCTGCTGGTTGTCCGAAACGTGCATAACACCACAATCACAATCATGCGCAAGCACGCAAAGACCGAAAACGTTTGCATCCTTCAGCCAATCAGTCAATGCAATTTTTGTGTCGTGCAATATGCAGCTGAGATAGATGGACTATTCAACATCAAAAATGGCGCTGTGAGGAAAGGGCCACCCAGCAAGCACAGGGTGGTTTTCAATGAACTAGTGCTTCCTGGCTGCCTTGCTCATTTTGTGCTTTGTTTCTTCTTTGTTGCCCCATAACAGAGATGGAAGTTTTTCTCCTGCGCTTTTCTTGCTCCAAATTTTGAAATTATGTGTTTGAACTGGGAATGGCCTTTACTCTGAAACCATACCCCGGCACCCTCGGTTTCCCACAATTGGGTAACCGGCAGTACCAGGTAAACTATAATCCATTGCCTGGGTAGTTGGAAACAATTTACCCAGGTAACCGGATTCGGGTACGTGCCCGGTCCGGAAAAAAACTCCCCCTACACAGCGCTGGCCTCGCCGACACTGCTTGACAAAGTCGGCGATGCTGACTGCACACCTCGGCTGACGTCCTTTTCTGAGGACCGCACGTCTGGAGGGCACCAGAGCGAATCCGGCGAGGGCCATTTGGTCGATGATCGCACTGACGAACCAGAATGAAGGACGCCACAGAATACCGCAGACAATGGCCGCCATAGCGCCAGGAAACAAGATCGGCCGCAAAACAGCCATGGCAGCAAACAGCTCAAAGGATACAGTGACCACTTGTCCCCGACAAGCAGACATAAACGGTCACAACCATAGAACAGAACAATCACAGAACAGCCACTGAACAGCAGAGAGAGCGCAGCCGCAGAACAGCTTCAGCAACAACGACGAGAACCCAACGCAACCGCTGATAGCCGCTGGGGGCGCCGTCCCGCACACACTGGACCTTTCACATTGAAATGGGCGACTTGTACTGAATCGGGGGCCACCCTTGCCGCCTCAGCCGCTCAATCGCTTGCCGACGACCATGCAGCAGCGTGGTCGGTATCCCGCCTCGTCGGATCGCTCAATTCCAGGTCGCCAGCTCCCCTAGATGGTCTCTAAGTGCGCGGCCGGTGGAAGAGAGCGGGGGAGAATAGGCATCGAGCACGATTGCAGATGCACGCACACCTGGTGTGGATGCGATGACCTCCCCGGAAGTGTGTAAAGTGAACGCACGTTGGGGAAGTGACCAACGGTCACACTTTGTGCAATACCCGAGTCCATACCTGAACCCGGGTACTGGCAGAACCTTGATAACCTGGGCGCCCTGATAATCCAGGTACCCACCTGTACACAGATGTGCACCTGCCAGCCTTGGCACAAGGTTTGGGTGGATACTCGGTATAGACAGGTATGGGAAAACCCTGGCGTGGGTACCAGGGCACCATCGGTAATTCTAATGATGACGGTGGTGTCCACTGTACAGTTCAGACGATGTTGCAGCCCTTGCCACATCTCAATTCCTATTCAAGGGCACCGTCAAAGTAGAGCAGCTTGAACTGTGTTGCCTTTCTGCATGTTGTCAATACTATCCCACTCGTGCGCAGGCGGGAAGAACGCCTCTCGAGCTTGCTTGCATGGGAGGCAATGGCGCCAGGGCTGAAGAGATTGCAAAGATTCTGTTGGACCAAGGAGCAGGTGTAAATGTGGCGGACGAGGTCAGAAAGCCGGCTCATAGCGACATTATGTATGGATTCTGTTTTGCGAAGTGTGGCATCGTATTTGGATCTCTAGAATGTGTATTCAGGTCTTTCTTTTCTGTTGGCACTTCATTAAATACATCTCTTTGTACAAGTTATGAAGATCACGAATTTCAATGTCCTTTTAAAGTGCAAATCGAATAATAGTCAGAGGCAGCCACATCAATGTATGGATGATATGATGTTCTGCACATTCTTATTGCTCTAGGAAATAATCTGTGTGAATATGGGTGCCACAAACAAATTGCCAGCCTTGACACCTCATTCAAATGTGGCACATGAGGAATTGGCAATTCTGTATGCTGCCAATTTCCTTGTTTGTTGCTCTGATGCACATGTTTTATGAACACTGGTGTCGTGCATTTGTCATTATGGTGCATTCTAGTAAGGATGGGTGGAGGCAAAAGTTTGCCCAGTGGTGGGGCTGTTGGGGCCGTTGAGTAAGTGCTTCATTGGCGACTTGTACAACAAGACTGGATTCCAATGTGCATCTACTGTACCCTGTGAGATGCTGAACCATTGTATTTCAATATTGTGTGATTAAACCTTGTACAATGTGGGTGGACCTGGTATAATTGTTATGCGACGAGTACGACAGTACGACCATCCAACCAACAGCCTTGCCCAGACAACAAAGCACACCAGCCGAGGTCGGCCAACCTGAATGGGACACCTCTGTTACCCTTCTGACTGTTGTGGTCAATTCGCAGTGCGGATGCACAGCACTTTCATCAGCAGCGATGAAAGGCAATGACACCACAGTGGAGCTTTTGCTCTCCCATGGCGCAACTGTGGACAGCATCGACAAGGTGTGCTTCCAAGATATGTTGGTGCTCCTGTAATGTCCAGCTGAGGCTCGAGCGCTGTTGTTTACGAGCAGTCGTGCAGTTGTGGTGGCGATTCGTTTTGGAGGCAATAACAGCAGAACTGTTGAATTGTTGTCATTTCTTGGAAAGTGTCAATTTGCGTTGCATGGGACCTGCTAATGTTCTGTTATACCTGGCGCACTGATATACATCGCCTGTGTGTTGAATCTGTGTTGATATTCTGCCAAGCGCACTTTTTGTGCTGAGCACACGCATGGATCTTGAGATATGTGACGAATTGCGCAGGATGGAGACACACCCCTTTCAGATGCAATATATAATGGCCACCCAAGCACAGTGGAGCTACTGCTGAAGCATGGGGCACGCACGGACATAGCAAACGAGGTGGGATTATACTTCACGGACCCCATCAACGTTTTAACATTCGCTCAAAGAATTGAATATTTTGTTCCAGTGAAGAGGCGCACGATACATGTGGGACCCTGTAGGCTATATAGCCTGTTATGCAGTGTGGCGCTATGTGCTGGTCAAAAGGTTTTGTGACTGAGGGATGCCAGCGGCAAATTGCATGCACGTGCATCAGAGCGGTTTCTGGTGAGCGGACGACCCGCCTGGCCGGCTCCTATTGTTCGCTGTCTTTCGAAAGACAGGCAGATCCTCACCCACCCCTCACCCACCCCGCCCCCCACAACCATCACCCTCTGAGCATCAGATCTGTCGACATCGACATCCAGAATTTGAATACTGGGAGGGCAGCAATCGAAACCGTGCTTTCCTTCACCTGTAGAATCCCTGATCGACTTTGAAAATACATCAACTTAATCTTGGCTCTTCTGCCGTGTCTGAAATTGGCTGATAGCTCGAGTTTTGTGTGTTATGCGTGTTGAAATGCTTGTATTCACTCAATGCACAGACAGGAGCAACCCCTCTTCTGCTTGTTTGGCAAAAGCAATGGCACACAAAGACCGATGAGCAGACTGCTGCGGAAATCGTCAGGATCATGCTGGACCATGGCGCAGCAGTGGAGGATCCAAACAATGTAAGATAATTCACTGCAAACGTCAGACACACAGACAAGTGAAAGAATGCATGTGGTGCAGCAGCTGACTGCCCTCCAAGCGCATTTGATCGTGTCATTTTGACAGCATGCCGGACCAACCGCTGCAAGCCAGATGGAATTCGACTAGCACACAGTGTCTGGTAGTTTCTGCACTGTCAGAACGCACACGCGACAATGGGCGCATGCAACAGTGACTTCTTAATTATTGTCAAGAACCACTTGGCATCTGTTCTTGTTTCTCCGGCCCCTTTCGAAGCTTTGGCGACTGGAAGTTGTCCAATGCTGGTTGGCCAAAAGGAAACGCGCGCCAAGGGCTGACTGGTCATCTTCCTGGTTCACCAGCTGGTTCGATGGCCACGCGATGCGCAGTTTTCTGTAATGTGTTCATTTATATGAACTCAGCGACCCCTTTCGTCAGCCTAAGGAGAGGAACTTTGTCATGTGAATCTTCATACCCTTCGGAATAGACTCATTTCGTAGGCCACTTCAATGTACAGCATTTTTTTGGCTGTCTTGAATACACCCACACGCTCCATTCGTGCCTCTTTGCCTTCCAACCGCAGAACGGATTTCTGTCCTTGCTTCTCACAAAATGCTTGTTCTGGGCGAAC